TAAGTTTTAATGCTGATACTTTCTTCTCTTTATCAGAACATATCTGTGGAAGGTTTTTGGGCACAATCTTTAAATGTTTATTGATTCAGAGTCAGGGGTTTTAGTTGCCTAGTCATGAATTCCCCCAGAATAAGTACACGGAAACTATTACCTGGCCAAGAGGCACCCCAAAGTCAAAAATGGTAAAATGTGAAAACAATGTGCATTTTAGTATCAAGTAAATAAAACATTATTCCTATTTTACAGATGAGACAGGCTCAGAGAGGTCAAGTAACTTGACCAAAGTCATGCAACAAGTAAATACTGTGCAGCCTCTCTGCTCCCCCAACCCACCTTTGTGAATAATACAGGAGCCTACATGAGGATACCTATCCTTTTTCTTCTTTTTCCTTCAATCTTTTTCTTTCTTTTTTGCTCACTCTTTCTTCTTTCTAAAGACCCAAGTTCTCATGGTCATAAAGCAGCAAATTACTGCTAAACAAACTCTAAAGGGAAGAGAGGAGAGATGCATGCAGTTGGGTATTTTTTTCCTCCCCTAGATGTCCTTTTTGTATCTGAACTTCTCTAGAAAAGAGGCCGAAAGTGGGATGGTATGTTTAGAATCACAGTAGATTAAGACATTTTAGCCCTTTGGGGTTTGGGAGGCCTTTGGGAATACAGTGAAAGCCATAGGCTTTGTTCTAGACCAATCACATGCACTCAAAAGTTTACTTTCTGAAACCAGGCCTTCCTGTGTCAGAATGTTAGCCCTGCCAAGAGGCAAGCAGTACTCTAGATCAGAAATGTCCAGAGGAACTTCCTTTGATGATGGGAATGTTCTGTGTCTGCACTGTTCAATACAATAACCATTAGTTATGTGTAGCCATTGTGCATTTGAAACATGGCTGATGCAATGGAGGAACTGAATTTTTAATTTTATTTAATTTTAATTAATTTAAATAGGTACATGAAGCTTCTGGTACATATCTGTATGACAGCTTAATAGCATGTAGCATGAGTAACAATGATAAAAATGGTTGAAGTTCTTTCTTACAGGTGATGACCGGTGCTATTTTTTATTAATGTGGCTCTATCATTCTGTATTCGAACTTATTTTTTCCTTTCAGCCTTGTCTGATGAGTAATGGATTCTTGAGAATCTATCCATGCATGTATACATATTATTTGTTCAGAAATGAAAGTTGGAACCCCAGCTTCCCAAGCATTGTTTTTTGGGTTATAACTCTCTCTTCCTTATTGTTTCAAGGAAAATCAGCATTGGAATCACCTGATTCAGGATGCTCAGAAGCGTGGTGCCATTATTAAGACGTGCGACAAAAACTATAGACATGATGCAATGAAGATTCTGAAACTCAAGCCTGTACTGCAGAGAAGTCTGACTCACCCCCCTACCATAGCCCCAGAGGTGTCCAGACCACAGAGTGGCTTGCCCAGCAACAGTCTAGACAGTGGATTTGTTTCTCCTCTATACCACACACCCCCTGACTGCGGTGAAGCTGCTGTTACTTCAAAGGATCCTGAAAGGCTGCCTGTTCAGGACTTACTTCGGGACCCACGACTGCTCAGGAGGATGGGCGCTGATGCCAATGGAAAATTCCTAAGGGATCCACAATCCTCGAGCCCCCAGCATCCTGGAGCAACACCTCCTGTGGGCGAGCCAAGCTTTCCTATCCCTCAGCAGGATCTGGGTAGTGGTGTACAGCAGTCCACGGGGACTGCTCCGAGCAGCCACAAGCCTCACGTGCAGTGTGAGCCTCCAGCTGCCAGTGCTGATGCTTCCAATAGTAAGAGAAAGTGTAGTGACCTGGAAGAGGGGCTCAGTCACAGGAGAGAGACCAGGACTCTCAGTGAAGAGGAGCAGGAGAAGCATGGCTCTGTGCCCCATCACACCAACAGGAACTCTGAGTGGGACAAGAAGAGACTGGAGAGGGAGGAGGACAGCAGTTCCAAGAAAAGAAAACTTTCATAGTAAAGCCAAATAGTTGTAAACTTATGATGACCAGCTAATAAGACTATCCAGATAAGATTATTTTTTCCTTTAAGGAGTTTGTGTGCTGTTGGAAAACATGGAAAATGTATCCTAACACCTGAGCCTTTGGTCATCTTCAGTACTTTTTGTCAGATGCAAAAGCTTTCAGAGGGCATTTGTGTATCAGTAATAATGTCCTTGGAGACTCAAAATGTTGATTTCTTGTTCTTCTATAGAAAAGGAGGTTAGACTGGAGTGAATGTTGTAAAAGTTGAGATGTATATTTGTATAGCAAATAACAAAACCCTTTTAAAATTTAATCTAGTAGGCCACTTTTCTTTCCCATGCTTAAAATGTTAATCATTTTCAACAGAAAAAAAACATAATATTTCAAAAAGGCAGGAGGAGGGCAGGTCCTTTCAACCATTGTATGGCAAGACAGGTTTCTTTTATAGCCTCGCTGAGTTAGTGCTAGTGGGTCAGATGTCTCTAATTTAAGAAAGAAAAAAAAACTGTAGTTGCCAGTCACCCAGGGGAAACTTTGGGAAGAACAGTTAAGTAAAGTTCTGCTGATGTACATTTTTAGATGCGGCACCTTGGCACAGGATATTATATTTTTGTGATGAGTTTATTTACCTATTTTAGTATACACATGGTTCCCTAGCTAAAATTCTTACTCTTCTTGAAACAGAAGAATATGAAATGAAAGAATAATGCTTGAACTATCATTCAAATGTCCCCAGCATATTGCGAGCTTCATGTGACTGGTGAGTTACAGACATGTAGTTGCCAAGTGCTAGATCAGCACTAGGCTGGCTTCAGAAAACACCTCAGTTTACAGATTGCTAGACAAACTAGTTTGCAGGAGAGCTTGGGAAGTTGTATGTTAAACACTTACTTCCTAAGGGATTCTGATCACCAGGCAGCTTGGGAACCACTGGGGCAGGCCAAATAGAGTATTTCAAGCAGGAAAGAAACACCCTTTTCAAAATGGTGCATAGCAAAGAGGAGTTTGGAACTAGGAAGAGAGTAGAGTGGTGGGTAGATTTCCTGTGATCTTCAGAAATCATCTGACTGACGCAAATATACTGCCGTTGTGGAATATCAGTGGGTGTTTTCAGCTGCTATTAGAGACGATTATACTTTTGTGCAAGAAAAGTGGCCACGGGACAAGGAAGGGGCTGCCCTATTTTGTCCAGTTCCAAACATCCACACAATGAATCTGGGGCATCCTAAACATGTGAATGTACAGTTGACAGCTATAATAACTGGTGGTTTGTAGTGAATGCTGTGCAGCCCATCAGCTAACGAGGGCAGAAAAATCCCTGAAGATTAATACGCACTAGTTGGTATGTTCTCTGTCTTCTGTTGCTTAAGCAAAAAGTTTTGTGTTAGAAATTCTACTGAAGCAGGTTATAAAGAGCTTTAACAAAACAACTTTTGGTTGCCAGAAGTATAAACATTCTATTCATTACCTACCTGTGCCTCTCCCACTGGTGTCCAGACATCTGACTAATGTCGACTGAACACTCCTGAGACTCAGGGAGTAGGTACCTTCTTAGAGTGCTTTGTCCCCACAGAGTCAGACTCTGCTTCCTACTGTGGGTGGAGAGGGTTTGTCCTTGGCCATTTAGTGTAAGAAAGTACACGTTGGGGCTCAGGGGTGAGCCCCCACTCTGTCTGGGTCAAGGGCTCTATAAGCCTCTTCCATGTGCCTTTGGCAAGAAATCTTATTATTACTTTAAGTTTACTTCCTTATTATCTTGGTAAAGTGCTCAGTTTAGCAGAGACTTGTAGTGGTGACCACTTAAGGAATCTAAAACTCTAAGCTTCTAAAGAAGGCATGACAAAAACAGTTGGGGTGTCAGGACTTCTCCCACTCTGCTCATACTGATACTAACACATGAATTAAGAAATAAGTTTTCCCAAAAATGCATATTTTGCTGCCACACACTGAACTATATTATTTCCAGTGAAGTTTGGTGCCTGTTCGCACATCATGTCCACCTGTTGGCTCACCACTCACTAGGTCTGAATACGCGAGGGTGGGAGAACCACATCGTCCTTTGCAGCAGACCAGCCTGTGTCCTATGACGGCCTCTCCCAGCAGAATGTAAACTTTGAAACTTTGTTATTCTAGTTGGTAAAAGTATTTGCAAGAAGCATTTCATGTGTATGCTGTGGCCTTTCTTGATGTGGCTGTCATAGCCATGTTGTTGAATGGTGGTTAATCTTTCTGCAAGGTGAAAAGTGTGGCTCTTTGCTTTGTCCTTGCCATGGCATTAAAAGAAAGTTGCCTGTCGTCTTTCACTATTAGTTATTTCAACATGAATATATGCTACTTAAAAACTTGCTTTACTTCTTTGTGTATACTCTGCCTTGAATTTATTGTACAGTTTGTTTAGTTACATGTTTTCTTGAGTTATCAGGAGCAAATTTGATAAGTACATGTGAATAACCTCCTGTAAATGAATTTTTTAACAAAAATGTACTAAACTGTTTTCTAAAATCAGTTGTACAGATTAACAATTTATTGCTGTAGCTTTGACTCTATGCTGTGAATTCATAGCTGGGATTTGGCAAACAATAGCCTGTTTTTGTTAAAACCTAAATTTTAAGAGTATATGGCAGAATTAAAAGAAACAAGAAAATTGATATGGGTTAGAAGTTACATATATTATTGAATTAAGGTACAGGGTACTAACAGGTAATCTATTTAGTCTGCCATTGATTTGCATTATGCTGAAATTATTTGGTAGGGATTGTGTAATTCAGATGTAAAAAGTTTATAGTCCAAGCTGCCCAGGAGGCTGAGGTGGGAAGATGACCTGAGCCCAGGAGTCTGAGGTTGAGTGAGCTGTGACGGTGCTGCTGCACTCCAGCCTGGGTGACAGACTGGGACCCCATCTCTAAAAGAAGAAAAAGTTGATTATCCAGCCCTCACCCAAGCCCGGCTCTCCTTGCTTCCCAGCTCCTTTTAGAATCTTCTCCGTGAGGTGTCAAGGTGCATGGTGGCCATCTGCGGTATTCGGTTCTGTACGGAAGTGTGGGCCAGCGAGAAGACGCGCTCACTGTCAAGCTGGGCATGAGGAGCGGGCGAGATAGGAGGAGCAAATGGACAGTAAGCCGTGAAAGGAGCTCCCAGAGGCACTGGTGGAGGGGCAGGGTATAAATGTTCAAGTTGGGTAATTGCTGATGGTTACAGAAGTGGAACGCGTTTCATAAAAGCAGTAACTTCAGATGTAGTCAGACTTTCCCACACTTGTGCCTGTTAAAAGGCACTTGACCTCAGCCTCGGTGTCTAATTCTGTACCCAGCGTGTGTGCACACAGCCCTCTCGGACTGCTTTGCGCATTTAGTATGCGTGCACAAATTACCAGGGAGGGTAAAATGGCGTGTTTGGGAGTCATGGGGAATAATAAATTTGCCAAATGACCTGACGAGAGGTGAGTGCTGTGATGGTCATTTGCGGAATTTGTTTCTGCAGCAGCTGTAGCAATGATTTTTAAAGTCAAGAGACAGCTCTCTCCTGACCAGTCCACCCCCACAATCACCCCCACCTCCTGGGTTTTGCTATTCATTGTTTGAGGAATAAATAATTCAGGGAGGAAACTAAAATTTAGCTTCAGATTAAATAGAATTTATAGTGTTGTACAACACTACAAAGGCAGTTTCTGTACACAAGGGACCCCTCCATAACTCTTAAAAGACCTGAGTTATTGTCACCCCACCCTACTGTACAGAAGGCATTTATCAGATGGCATAAATGATACCCATAGACGGGATATCTGAAAGCACAGGCAGAGATGCTCCGTTGTGCTGCTGCTGTTCCTTACAGCTCAAGCTCTGCTGTAGACACAGGGTAGACACAGTCGCCTGGGTTTTCAGGCCGCGTTGCTGCAAGTGGAGTTGTTGTAGTTCTGAACCTTAGGGTTGGACTTTGGAATCACCCAGGGAGCTTTTAAAAAATTCTGATACTTGGGCTCCATGCCATAATTTCTGATTTAATCATTTTGGGGTGCAGCCTTTGCCCTTTTTAAAACTCTTAAGTTTGGAAAAAAAAAACTCCCAGGTGATTCCACTGAAGAGGCAGCACTGGGGCCTGGCTCCTGCAGAGTCAGGAGGAAAGAGGAGGAGCCCTGGGAGCCCACGGGCCGTGTGTACTTTCCTCAGTACGCATCTCTGGTGCCGCGGGCGAGGCCTTCAGCACAGTGGGGCAAGAGAAGGAAAACTGGAAACAGCTTGGTTGACTCCTGACACCATCAGAAGGGAGGAGATAGAAGGCTCCCCAAGTCTAGGGACATCTGGCATGAATCAGTGTGGCCAAGAAGGCCAAAAAAGCAACAGGTCTGAGGGGGTATGCTCTGCCCCCAGCACAGGGAATACAGTGCCAGGGCTCTGAGTTTATTCTGAGAAATACAGGGTGCACGTGCTGAGTGCTTGGGATCCACTGGGCATCTGTACCCCTGTACGTTATCTCTGAGTTCTCCCCCCAGCCCGTGGTGTACAGACTGTCGTTATTCCCATTGCACAGATTTTAGAAAGGTCAAATGGGTGAAATGGCTTTCCCAGGGTGATAGAGCTAAGAAGTAGCAAGTCTACAGTTACAACTCAGTTCCTGTGACCCAAAACCCTTGCTTGTAACCACTACAGTAGGTACCTGAGCAGAACTGAATGCCAAGCTGGCCAAACCACTGCAGAAACGGGCCTGGGGAAGGAGTTGTATCACCTGGAAAGGACCCAGAGGTTGTCGTTGCTCTGCTGTTGGTGTTGCCCATGTGGGATTTGCAGCCTCCATGGGTTTCACTTTCTTTGCCTGAAGACAATAGTTGGGATCTGAGTTCTCTTCTGATGCTTTGTACGGTGAGTTCTAAAATTCCAGGCCCAGATCTCTGAGTTCTGGGGAAGCAAGCGGCAAGACGAGTGGTGGGTTTGGAATTCGTCGACCAGGGCAGGCTGAATTCCCAGGATCCCTTGTATGTATCCCTTTAGGGTGGCCGTAGGAGATACTCCGTGAGATTAGGAAGCCAGAAATGAAGCAGGGCCCTATTGTTCTTAGGCTCGGAAGGTTGCCACAGGGGTGGCAGGTGCTGTTGTAACTCAAGCCTTTTGACACTTAACTGCTAGCCTGTTGTGTGGGGCAGCAGCCGGGTCTCCTTCCCTTCCCCTTCAGCTTCTCCGGTTCCTGCCAGGTGGGTATTTGCTGCCCAGGTCTGTGCCCCCCAGCACCGAGCCTGGCCAGATCACAGTGGGCCTGGGGGGCCTTTGCTGGCAATGGGACACCTCTGTAGGCATCTGCGCCTGTGAGAAGGGCACTGGGACCTCCTTTCCCAGGACCTCCATTTCCTGGTCCCCAATTGTCTTGGTCATACCCCACCTCTCCAGTCCTG